GATATATACGGATAATATTGATTTACCCCTGCTGATTTTATTTATAAGGAATGTATAACCCCATATACAAAAAAAGGTCAGACAGTTTTGATCAAGCAGGGGTTGTTGATATAACTTTGAGTCTAAGGGAGTCAAACATCTCACATCGGTAAACAACTCCTCATGCTTGGACACAGTGTAGCCTTGCAGGTGTGCAACAGCATGAGTGAATACTTTTGTGGAAAAAGTAAGTAAAATTAACACTTGTCATTAACAAAGTCAGGAATCGATAGGAAATTATTTTTTCACACCACAGGTAAGTGCTTTGCCAAAATTTAATTTGGTGTCTTAAACCAATAGGTGCGCAGGTGTTACTGAAACAAACATAACCTCAAGAAGTAATAATACCAATACTCAAAAGACCAATTAGGGCACCCTGATCCAGATGTAAGTTAAGTATGTGTGAAAAACACATGTATTTACCTCCACATTTCTGTATAACTCATCATGATTGTCTTGTCTGATCCTGCTATGGTAACACATTGTAAAGTGACATTTATTTAATATTGTCATAATGGGCTTTGAGGATCTGACCCACATCCAGAGACACACTCAGAAGCCAAGGATAAAAGTTAACAGGTTTATTGAGGTTAGCTAAAACACAGACTGAGAGATATTCAGCTGGGTAACACTGTTATCAGCGAACTGGTGAACCGGAACCGGAAACTCTGACGGGGAGATCAAAATGATCAGTTCAAAAAAATGGAAAAAAATGACTGAGGCTTGTCGTTTGCAGGAGGGGCACTCACGTTTAGGGGGTTCTTCGTTACTCTTAGGATCCAGTTTGTGGGGTTTTATCCAGGGACGAAAGAACCCGTTGGAGGGCGGACAGGCAGACTAACGTTGGATCCAGAGGAGCAATGGAGCAGACAGTCACCGGGTTTTCCTGAAGTGGACTTGAACAGATCATGTGAAGGTTTCCCTTTTCTCAGTGTGAATCAGTTTATCCTTCCAGGGGGGTAGAAGGTCCAGGCTTATCCAGTGAATCAGGAAGGCTTCCTGCTGAAGAACAAAAGAAAAAGCAAGCTTAGACTCAGAGAGACAAGACTAAGGCTAGTGTCTGGCAAACACTCTGGCATCAAGGTAGTGACAGCCCGTTGCTCAAACACTCCTCTGGTGATGACCCAACGAGCCGCAGGTGTGCGAGGAGGCCCAAACGAGGACAGGGCACCATCTTGTGGTGGAAAAAGAAAACACCAAAAACAACCCACACAAACTGGATTCCTAACAAATATATCTTAAAACCAGAAAGGGGCCCAGTAGAATTGGTATAATTCTAAAAAACGTATTATATCATTAGTCATCTTTTGACATGCAAGGTAAAAAAAAATCCAAACCCTAGTCCATAGCAAAACAGTAAGCACGGAATCAAAAAGACAGAAGGTTTCTCCTGTTCTCCACATCTTCAGTATTTCAAATAAAACACTTCAAAAAATGTTTTCAAGTAATTAAAACAAATCACGGTTTTAGTTTGCTCCTTAATAATGGCTGTATATGTTGAAAAAAGTGCTGTAATTATCTCAAGCAAAGCTTATGTCAATACACTTGGAAAATTGAGGAATTTGTGTATATTATAACATACATTCTTAAAATGTAAAGTGTTTGGTAAAACTTTAAAAAAAGATTTTTTTAAACAGTAAGCCTGACATAACACAGAAATAGTTCATAATAAATAAAAAGAAAACAAAGGTTAAGAAAATTATTACACAGGAGGGCCAAATTACCACAAGTTAGGATTAGGGCCAATTATACATTCTTAATCAAACCGTAACTATATATCCTCCTTACAGATATAACTGAGGTTTTTTAAAAGCTCTGAATGGCTAACTTTATCTACCTGCCATGCTCCCAAAGCCTGATCTAATGTCTTTTTCTCTTGTCCCATTGAAGGCCACCTTCAACGCTACTTTCCGTGTTGCTAAAGATTTTGAGTGGAGTAATAATATGTCAATGACAGTCACTGCACAAAGGTAAAATGTTTTATCCAACAGTCCTGTACAGAAGGAAGCCAAAGATTTGCAATCAATTTTTCTGAAAAAAAAAAAACACTGTTTTTCTGTTTTCATTCTTAGTGAAAATTTAAATGCCAGCCAGACACCTTCTGTGACCAAAGTTATCCCTGTTAAATATTCAGTTAGAATTGCAAAAGATGTGTAAGTAGTATTACACACA